AATTATAGAGCGTCCTCTCGGCCCCCAGACTCCGTTGGCTAATGTTCGAACCTTGCTGAAAGAGAATCCTAATAGGCCTCGCTCCCGAATCCCCTCGGCCCTGGGATGTCGATGTCGGGGTCCTCGGGATACTGGAGCTCCCTGTGAACAGTTCGTCGTGGCACTTTTTTGTTTGAAAATAATGGGAATAGCTTGACAAATAGGGCTGGCGACGACCCCGCAATGTTGAGCTCGAACTCTTGACTGGCGATTAGCTCGGCAGGTCCTTGGAATCTCCGACTGGCCTGCTCTGCCCATGAAAAGGGGATCCGCCATTGGACTCCTGACCCTGAATGCCCACCCTTTGTCTGGGGGAAATCCTCGACAAACTTCTGCAAGCGCTCGAAGGATGAGGGGGGGTTCCTCCGGGCCCCGGGCGCCCATGGCCGCGGCCTGGATATCCGCAGTCAACCGCGACTCTCGGCAGCATCTCCCGAGAGTCGCACTGGCGCGGCGCAGCGGGCCAGCTAGCGGCTTGAACAACGAGGAAATCTCGGCTTTGGTGCCAGGGTCCCACGCGGCCAAAAGTCCGGCCGTCTGGGCGCGCAACTTCCCGAGCTCCTGGCGCAAGCGCCCCTGGATCTCCTCGCCGTAACAAATCGAAGGTTTAACTCCGCATGTGCAAGTCTTAACTTTGATGGGCATCCTCAGGCTACGGCCCCTCATGCGACTGATTTGCGCGGGGCATTTCCGATTGTCTTGACTGTCCCAATTCTACAATCCACTCCCAAGGTAAGAATAGCATTCCCAATCGTTCCAAGATGTTCCTCGAGAGCCTGCGGAGCTTGCTTCAATGCCTCATGGCGGGTAGCTGTGACGTTGAACTTTTTCACGTGCATCGGGGGCTCCAAGGTGCGCGTGAACTGGCGGGGGGCTCTGCCTGCCAGGTCAGCAAGGCCATTTAGACAGCTCTCCACCGCGCAGCCGACCGCGTCGAAAGAGTGATCGCCGATGTGCATCGAAATACTCGTGTTATCTTCGTTCGTGGCGCCGTGAATCGTCGGAACCATGCGCGCTGCAACTTCGAAAGCCGCCGTGGACGAGCCCACCACTATGCCGCGACTTGGTGCAAGCGGCTCGCCCACGACACTGCCCGCGAGCAATCGCTCCGGCCATCGATGCGAGTCCAGGCAAGCCCGAGGCACACAACGGGAAATCGCACCTGGCTCCTTCGGACAGCATCGCGCGATGGCTGATGCGCTCATAGCATTGCTTCAAACCTGCCAGAAGAATCGCCACAAACTTGCATGCGTGGCCCGCACTGTCCAGCCGCGCGATCGCCCTCCAGACGCTGTCCGTGGCGCGGCGGCACGGAGCCATGCGAGAATGCTTGGACTTGCCTGCGACTCTCTCGCGCTCTCGACAATGGTGGGTAAGGCTCTTAGAATATACTCTGCCGAAACTCTCGAGGAAGCCGATAGGCCTCCAAAAGTGCCATGAGCTCCTTCCAGGCGGTCGGGCTGCTTCCGAGAATACAAACGAAATTGAACATTCCTTCCGTGGCTTCCATGGCGCCCTCCGAGAGCCTCGAGAAGTGCCGGGGGTGGCGTCCGTCGACCGCCGTGGGGAATACTTGAACCTGGACGAGATGTTGCGCCCTGGCTCTTGCGAGGGGCCCATTGGGATCTCGCGGTCGACCTGCGGGGGGCCGTCGAAAGGAAACTGGGGGGGGGCGCCCGCTCCCCAATCTGAGGCCCAGATGTCATGCTGGGCCAGAAATTGCACTCCAAAAGGCAGCGAGCACCGCCGGCATGCTGATGTGTTTCTCCTACATTTCCTGCTGGCACCCCCTGTGCTGCCACGTCCTCTCTTGGCTCCTCCAGCTATGGCTTCCTCGCGCCAATCCTCTCACCTCTCGGTGGCCTCCTTCCTCTCCATCTTAATGTACTCGTTCAATAAATACTCCAGAACTGGTATCCACGCATCAAGTGATCTCATGAAACGAGTCTGCCCGCCGCTGGCGAGCGCGAACCTGGCCAATTCGGCGCAGAAGGCGCGCTGGAACTCGCTGCGGCTCTTCCGCAAGGTCCTGACAGGGCCCCCCCGCATGAAGACCTAGTGCGAGCTCGGCTAAATCGTCAAACTGCTTCGGGCACCCACGGGCGATTAGGCTTCTCAGCTCTGTCAGCCGACGAACGGGCCAGGCAATGCACCCACTCTCGCTGGGCAGGGGGTCCTGGACGTAATACGTAAGTCTGAAAACCTCATCGTTTCGAGGCTATGGGGTTGGCCACCTTCTCGGCCTGGCTGATCTGCGCGCTGGAACGTGTCTGTGAATTCTCCCCAAGTCCTGGAAGTCCAGGCAAGATATACTCGATCTAAGACTGCTGGCAAATCCGACAGATCACCATGCTCTGTAGGGGGCCCCGCGGGTCCCATGGGAGGCTTGGCTGGTACGAGCTGGAAGTTGGCGATCCTTTGCGCCCAAATGTCCTCCGTCGCGCCGCGCAGCGTCATGATGACTGGCTTGCGCGGAGGCGCGTCCACATCCTCATCAACTGCGGTGAACTCAACGCTGGGCGCCAGCTTCTTGCACGCACTGGAATCGTCGATCGTGGTCCTCTTGTCCCCGATGGAGCACGTGGGATTTGAAGGCGGGTAAATTTCACCGTTTTACTTGTCGGGCCTCATATATCCCAGCCGCGTCTCATCATTTACGTTGAAGTAACAGCCAGTGACAAAGGGAACTCCCAAGAAAAGAATACGCGCCCCAAGACACCTCGATAATCCCAAGTTGGCCGAACCAGGCCCAATACAATCAACACAGTAAGTACTATATAGACTGACAATCCCAGAACTCCGAGTTCTCAGAAACGTGTGAAGGATCCCACCAGGAGCCAATATTCTAGCTGAGACGGGGGATTGCCATGAATCTAGGTGCCTACGTACAAGAACGGCCACCACCACCCCCAGACTACGCTTCTGGGCGGTGACTACGCAGGGACTCCAGAAGCTAGCCCAACCTTGGAGACTAAGAGTGCGGTGCGCACCTGGGGAGCTCTGAGCCTGTGCTCCTGCAGAAATATCAAGCCAGTGGATTTCGGCACGCTGCCTAAAACATTGTTTGCCGTCTTCCACGATAACGTGTTGGCTGTGAGCAAGGAAGAATGGCGGCTACCCCCACGGCTTCTCCATAGCGGCCTTTGCAGGGGCCTTGACAGGAGGAGTCTTGGGCGCCTGGCCAATGAAAGCAGGCTCACGGGTGGATGGGGGCGACCTCGACCTGCATCCATTATCTCCTCCTCCCTCGTCGCCTCCTGCAGCGCGTCGCTGATGGGGGCCGCGGGGAGGCTGATTCACTGGGGCGTCCACTCCGTCGTCTGGGACTCCGATGGTGAACGTGTCCGTGAGCTGCGTGAAAATGGTTGCCACATCGGTCTGCTTGTCGGATGCCACGGCGCTGATTTTCCGCTTGCGCACCTCGAACAGCTCAGCAGCAGGTATATTGTTAGGATCGTCCGGGTCGTGAGGATCCTGCGTCGCTGGAGCTGATCTGGCCACACCTGCTGCTTTCTCGGCCTCTTCGATATTGATAATTATTGGCCCCCTGGATGGCTGCATCTTCCTGTTTGACAAGAGCCTCCGGCTGCTCGAGGTGCTGGCCGGCACTGACCACTCTGAGCTGGTACAATCGTAATTGTTCTCCATGTCGTTCGAGCTGCTTCTGGTGTTTGACTTTTTCGTCCGCTGTTGCTTGGAGCTGTGCGCTGCGTGAGCCCTGCATGGTCTGGAGCGACTCCTCCAAGGCCTTCTGGGCTGGGGCTCCGCGCTCTCTAAACTTCCGCATAATGTCAAGGGCCTGTTGACAGATCTGGATCTGCTGCCCCGTGATGTTGCCGGTGGCTGCTGGCGCATCACCACGTCCTCCTTCCACCTCCATGGGTATCGGCCCGCCCCCGGGTGCCAAGGGAGTTGGTTTGGCTGCGGCGGCAGCAGGAGGGAGGCCGGGCGGGAGGTCGAACCCCCCTCCTTGCACACCAGGCCCCTTGGGAGCGTCTCCCTGACGCCTTTGGGCTGGCTTCCAACACCGAGTTGCTTTTGGCTTTCTTGCCATTGGATCCCCCGGCCCCGTCTGAATCAGGCGATTTCCACTTGGCCGAATAGTGTTCTCCGCATCTCCAACACTAAGAGAGCCATGATACAGAGGCGTCGCAGCACACGAAGGGCCAGCTGAACGCCTTAGTTGCGGAAGGGCTCCACGGATATCGTTGCTTCCAAGACATTGCGGTCCGAGAAACGATATCGTGATGAATGTGCCCTGCTCTCAGCAGGTGAATCAATGAGAAAGATTTGGGGCGCAGGTCGCGCCGACCAACCTCAAGCCCAAACGGCTTGAGCCAGGCTTGAGCCAGATGGCTTGAACCAGGCTTGCGCAAGGCTGCGGACTCCTCATCTTCCGCCTTCTCCTCCTCTTGCTCCTCCTCCTCCCCGCCCAACCTCCTCTTCTCCTCCTCCTCCCTCCGCCTCCTCTGCCTCCTCCTCCTCCTCCTCCTCCTCCTCCTCCTCCTCCTCCTCCTCCTCCTCCTCCTCCTCCTCCTCTCCCTTCCACCTTCTCCTCATCCTCCCCTTCTCACTTCGGCCTCATTTGCCCTGTCCACACTCCCTGCCTGCTTTTTTCCTCCCACGCCCTTATACCTCCCCTCTGCTCGTCTGGAGATCTGGAGTTGTGCACATTGGTGTGTGGGGGGGTCGTGCATGCCTCTCGAAGCATGATCTATAGTGAATGTACAGCGCTGTCAGTCGTATGTGGTGTTGTCGCAAGTGTGCTCGGTACTGCTCGGAGCAGATTCGGGACCTTTACCAAACCATCTTTGGGAGCTCATCTCACGCCTAAGAGGCGCGAGTATCTCGACTGGCTTTTCAGGTGTTTGAGACCCAAGCAGTGCTGTGCTGCGACGCTTTGTGTTTGATCCGATTCCGATTCCGAACCCCGCTGCTCGTCTGGGAAGCGGGGGGGGCGCCTGGTGTGCGAGCCGAGCGTGGCGGAGAGGTCCGCTTTCAGCGCTGCCCTCGCCGCCTCGTTGGAGGGGCGCGCCGGGACAGCAAGCAACCATAGTCACGTCGAGGACACACCCTGGTGGGTGTCTGGCGCATGCCACCATCGGAGAGACGCAAACATTGGGTAGGGGTAGAGGTGGGGTTGGGAGGAACATGACTCTAAACGGCCCATGGAAGAAGAACCTGTGAATATATGTGAGCGTCCAGCTGGGCTCGTTCCCTAATTACCCCCACCTGGAGATCATCACCCCTCTGCGAACCTCCGACATCGGTTCAGAACACCGAAACCAGCTTCGTACAGGTTGCGGCCAGATCGACCGTAGCCGCAACCGCAGTGCTCGTATGTCGAGGTCGGCCGGTTCTCCCCCGAGGGGCCCTCCAGAAGAACGCACCGAGTCGTGGTTGCGTCTCTCCTGAAGGGGAACTGGAACACACAAATAAATACACACAAATTCAGACAATCCCCATATTTTCGCATATTTTCTGGGTTTTTGTCTTCCCCCCCACTTCCCATATTTCCCCATATTTTCTGGGGAATGGAGGATTGATTGTGTCTGTGTGTTTCTTTTCCTCCTGATCTCCGTTGCGCCCGGAGGGGTGGGTGGGAGGCCCGCTGTGCACCAGCGCCGGCCCTGCCGGTCAGCGGCCACTGTGGGGGGGGGGGGTGCTCCTCGGACCCTTCCTATGGGGGGGGCGCTCGGGCGCTGCTCGGGCTCCCCGCTCGACTTCTCCACGGGACCCGCACGCGTGGCTGGGCGTCTAATTACTCCTCCCACTTGTCTTCAAAGGGCCCCAAAGTGACCGTATCGGGTGCTCCCCAATTCGTGATATAATAAAAGGGAGGGGGGCACATCTCTCCCAGACGGGCAGCTTCAGACTCCCTGCGCAGACCCCCCAGAACCCGCCAAGGTAGCGACCTCCACCCCCGAATCAGAAAATTCGGCAGCGCGCCCGGGGGGGCGGGCCTTTTCAGCAGGCGGCGGGGGCTTCTCGGAAGCCCTCGCGCCTTCTGAGAAGCTATCTGTGCCTCCTGGGAAGGCTTAGATGACTTCACAGGCGGCCTTCCGAACCTGCTGAGCAGGCCCGCCCACTCTGACCTGGAGGGGGAGGAAGCGGGGACCATGACCAAGACCGAGCGCGGACATGTCGTGTCGATCTTGGTCGGCGTCGATCTTGGTCAGCGCCAATCCGTGGACAGTCCTCGCGAATCGGCGACGGCCGACATGGATCATGATCAAGATCGGCATTGAATAGGGAGCCCACAAAGGACGTACGCGCCCAGCTATGTACATGAACACGGCCCCTCGATTCGCGAGACCTGCCGCGCGATACGAACATTCGCGCAATGCGAACTCTCGAAACCAGCGTGGATTCATGTACATGTACGTCCTTCTTTCGCTCCTGATTGAAAGGATCCCACGACATTTTGGTCGTGGTCCCCGTGCTTCTGCCCTCGAGGACTTCCCCCCTGGCCTGGCCGCCGACAAGTGGCCCCAAAGGGACCGTGTTTGGGCACCTCCTGGGGGACTCCTTGGGCTCTGCCAGAGGCCCTGCGGGCCAGCCCAAGAGGCCAACATCGCACATACGTCAGGTTCGTGTCGTGACGACCCCGGCGTTGGTTCCTGACACCGCGCTGGATCGTTCAACCTTGAACGATCGGCCGTCTCCGCAACGTCCGATCGTTCAACATCGACCGATTCTGGGCCGCCGTCGGCGTTCAACGTTGAACGTCGGCGGCGGGGTCGCCGCCGGTCGACACGACGCGAACCTACCGTATCCACATGCTCTGTCGCACGATCGGCTTTCATGGGCGGCGCGCAGAAGGGGGCAGGGGAAGGGGAGGACAATTTGTTAGAAAGGGGCTGCTTCTTCGAAGGCGCCGGCCCTACATCTTCATGCGAGGCCCGCGGCTTCTAAGCAGGGGTGCTTACAAGAAGCCTTCCCCCCTCCCCCATACCCCCTTCTGCGCGTGGTTGACTTAAGGGATTCAAGAAGCCTCGACAGACCCCTGGGAACAACCTTTTTATTTTTCGCCAAAGACGCTTTTACCAGCCGTGGCCGTGGCCGCCCCCCTCCCCCCAGGTAACGGCACGATCCGTGTTCTCCTCCGAGTTGTCTTTGGCTATTCCTCGGCATTCCCAGGCGGCGCCAGCGCTAAAGCGGCAAGACGCTGATACGATCCGATTGGGAGCCGGGCCGGGCCTGCTGGGCCAGCCGTATCAGATACTGGTCAGGCTGTGGCTCAGCCGATGGCCTGAGGGTGCGCTTGGCCAGGAGGCCAAGGAATCTTGAATGTTCTTCTGACTCGCGTCGTCGTCGTCGTCGCCCAGGATAAAAAAAAACGCTTGCTTGCGAGGTCTCCAAAAGGCCTCTCTTGGGACCCCATGGGATCCTCCGAGGCGCGCCTCGACGGCCCCACCCGGCACCTCGGTGCCTCGGCGCCTCTCGAGCCTCCTGGCTGGGCGGGGGCCCAGAGGCCCCCAAGAGGGCCCTCCGAGGCTCCCAACGGGGACCTCAGGAGCCTCCTCCTCCTCCTCCTCCTCCTCCTCCTCCTCGTCTTCCTCCTCCTCCGCTGTTTGTTTGCCGCGGCCTCCTCCTCCTCCTCGTCCTCCTCCTCCACAATCTGAATACTACTCTCATCTCTCCCCTGGTGGCGTCCGGGCAATGTGCGGGCCCCCTCCGCGTATTGGTTCTTTACACGCAAGATTATCTGGAAACAGGCTTTCGCCTGGGTTTTTGTTTCAAAGTGCTGCTCTCGCTGAAGCGCTGGCCTCATTTCCGCGCTTCCGCTCGTTCCGAGTCGCTGACGTCATTACTTCGAGCGCCATTCCACGGCAAGGTTTTCGGTCCGTCCAAATAGACACGAAAATCTAGAACATGGCCCCCCGAAGAAACCATCGGAAGTGATTACACATTCGGTGCCTATTCGTTGATTTCCTGGGTCGCGGAACCCTTTGGGGCGTCGCCACGCCATGCGATGTCAGTCTACGCGTTGAGCGTCAACACCACGCTACGCCATGTAATGTTATGCCCTGCTACGGCATCCGATTGTTCGAATAGAGAGGAGACCTACGCCATGGTACGGGATGCGAGGGAGGGGCAGGATGTCAGACATGACGCGAGCGCACCTGGCTTGTCCTCCTCCCCCTCCTCCCCCTCCTCCTCCCCCTCCTCCTCCTCCCCCTCCTCCTCCTCCCTCCTCCTCCTCCTCCTCCTCCTCCTCCTCCTCCTCCTCCTCCTCCTCCTCCTCCCCCATCCTCCTCCTCCTCCTCCTCCTCCTCCTCCTCCTCCTCCTCCTCCTCCTCCTCCTCCTCCTCCTCCTCGAGGCGCCGCGGCAGCCGAGGCGCGGCGCGCCTCGACTGCCTCGTCCAGCACCTCGGCGCGGAACCTCTCGAGCCTCCTGGCGGGGGGGGGGCGAGCGCCAAGGCCGAGCGCCGGGGGCGGCCGCTCCCCGCCGCCGCGCCCCCGAGAGCCCAGCAGCCGACCCCCTCCGGCCGGGAGGCTGCCGAACGCCCTGCTCCGCTCGGGGGAGAGGAGGGGGGGGGGCATGGGGGGAGGGAGGGCGGGAGGAGGAGAGGGAGGACGAGGGTGAGGACGAGGAGGAGGAGGAGAAGGCGGAGGAGGAGGAGGATGAGGGGACGATCGTGCAGATGAGGGAGTGTTCGACCGTCGGCCACCTGCCCTTCCTGCACCCCGCTCTCTTGGCCTTGGGGTGGGGGGGGCCGCCTCCTGCTGGCTCTCGGCCAGCTCCGTCCGCTCCAGAGCCCGGCGACGGAGGAAGACGGGCCCTGGCATCGGCTGCTCGAAATTGATGGGCGAATTCCTGTTGCCCTCGGGGTGCCTCCCGCTCTGCTGCCGGTTCCACTGGGTCTCGTTTCCAGGTCTCGAAAACCGACCTGGGCACTCCGAGGAAAGGTTTCTGGCATTGCCGCACATCTAGCAGGCCAGGATTTTCGAGCCTCCTCTGTGAGGCTCCGACGTGAAAAGCACGTGACCTTTCGGAAACGAAGAAAGTACGGCCAACTGGGATGCAATTGGCTGAACGTCTGTGCAAAACCTGCCGGACCGGACTGGATATGCTTGCTTTGCTGCACACCGCATGGCCGGGTAGGGGATCCTCAGTGGGTTAGCTTAGGGCCACCTGGCCATCGCGTTGAGTTTACGGATGTGGCCGCACGTAGAAGCTGCTGCATGACGTTGCAGTGCGGTCACGTAGACATGTAAGCCGATGCGGATGATGAGGATGGACGCCAGGGCAACCAGGAGACTGAGGAACAGCTTGGCTCAGCCATCGGGTGCGAGCTCGACACCACCGATGGGCTTGAGAGCTTGAGTGTAGTCGGTCTTGTCTAGTTCGTATTCACCGTCAGATGTCGGTGAATGTCGGGCCCCATAGCACGTGACAGCTCCTTGGGAGCAGTCCCGCTCGCCTTTGCGGAAGACATCCTCCAATAATTTACGAAGCTTGGTCTGTTCTTCTGGAGTTCCTGACACCTTGACGTCGTCGACGTGCATAATTGCTAAGAGACATTCGCCGTTGTGGTGTCTGATATAACGTGGCCGTAAAGTGCGAGGGCGGCTTGTAACAAGCCTTGGTGGCCTCAACATCCCAGCGCATCCTTGCAGCCAGTGTCTTTATGCAGGATTTCACAGGCCGGATACACATTTTCGCACCCCTTGATTACGTAGAGAACTGCGACGGCGTCAGGGGAGAGCACGAAGTTTACTTCGCGCTCCTCGTCACCTGTGGCTTACTCCTTTGAGAAATAGTTTCTTGACATCCCACGCGTCGCTCGTCCCATTCTCGGCAAGCCGCCTCAAAGACGATCACTCGCTGTGAGAATCGTAATGAGCGCCGGCTTAGGTGGCGATGACATCGGCGTCGGCATCCTTAAAACCTGGCAGAGTCAGTCGCATCCGAAACATCCGTACTTTCTGTGTGGGATCCGCTTTCTTCCGTGTTCATGTCCACCTGCTTACCCACCTGTAGTCTGGGATGCGCCTGTCTCCTCGGCGCGGGCGTGTGCCGAAACGGGTATGACGCCCTCGTGTGGACGGTGCCTCTGGGGCCTTCGGTGGGGCTCCGTACGGAGCCACAAAACGTGTGAGAGGTGCCGAAATCAGTGAACGGAGGGTAGAGGCAGGGATGGGAGGAGGGAGGAGGGTGAGGAGAGGAGACCAGATGAGAGGTGAAGAGAAGAGAGGACGCGAGGCGCTGTCTCTTCAAAACGAGGACCCAATACCGCAGGATGGTTGGGAAAATCTTATCCAGGACCCCTTTGGAGCTTTCGGTCAGCCCAAGACGGCACAAGGAAGGATCAAACTGCCCTGTGCACAGTTCAACCAGCAATGGCCCCGCACATTCGGGAATCCCACACGATCCAGAGAACGACGACGACGACGACGACGACGACGACGACGACGACCTCGCAACCCCCACGGGCAGCGAGGCCTCATTCTGAGCTGCGTAGGACGTCACCCCAGGAACGCACGAAAGTGTCGATAGTCTCGCAGCTCGCAGACCCCAGGAGCGGCGAGGTCTCACCCTGATCTCGACGTCACGACGAGGACACGAGCAGGGGGGGGGAGCGAACGACGAGGCGACAGGGGAGGGGACACTTGGGCCGCCAGGGCGAAACTCTCTGGGCTCTCGCCCCCTTGCGCCAGCATGCCCTCCCGAGCCCGGCTGGACGCAGGGATGAGGGAGGGGGGCAGCAACAGCAGCAAACAGGCAGAGAAGCAGGCCAGGGTCGGGGAGCGGTGGCGGGGGCGGTTCGTCCACGTCAGGCTTGGTGAGTGCTGCCTTCCCCCCCCCCTTCTCTCCCACCCCTCGCTGCGAGGCATCGGGGGCGGGGGGGGGGTGATGTGCGCGCGCTGGGCAGGATCACACGGAGGTCTCTAGGATGGGGTCCGAGTGGATAGGGTCTGGGGATCGCGCCGCATCGCCGATGCATCGGCGATGCATCGCCGATGAATGGGCGATGCATCGGCGACGTCAGCGATGCATCGGCGCTGTAGGCGTGGACAAGATCGGATTTCACGTCGAGCCGCATTGGCGATGCGGCGCGATTCTCCGACCCCGTCTGCTCGGACCCTATCTGGGAGGGCCTCCTCAGACCGTCTCGCCCCCCTGCCGGGTCGGCCCGCCCAGCCGCTGGCGTGGCTCCTGCCCGCGTCGCCCCTCCACGCAGCGTTGGCCGACTCCGTCGCCTCTCGCAGGACCTGCTGGCGGCCGAAACATGTGAACGGCCAAGAGAACACTCTCGAGAGGGGTGTCGAAGCCGATAAGCCCACCAAAGGGGTCAGGACCACAGATCCTGCAGTTCCGGCTGGTCTGGGACATGGGCCTTTGACAAGGACATAGCGACCTTACGCGGTGACTGGCGCGGGTAGCCAGCACACCGCGTGGAGAAGAGTGCGTTTGCGCGCGACCTTAGGCGGGCAGCTTGCGCGGGAATGTCCACGCAATCGCCCCCTCTTGCTTCAGTCGCCCATGTGGCCCCCTGGTGCCGGTCAACAAAACAATGGGAACACATCACACATATGTAGACATCTAAAGAGGTGTATACACAGGTGTTTGTTTTGGTATGGAGGTCCACGTTCATGTGCATGTGTCTATGTATATGTCGATGTATATGTATATGTGTAAGTGTACGTATGTGTGTCTAATTACGTGCATGTACATGTCTGTGTATATGGCTATGGAAATGCTTGTGTACATGCAGCTTAAACAGGCATATCAACATATGTATACATATGTGTGCATGTGTATGTGCATATGTACATGTATCTGTGTGTATTCGCATGTGCATATGACTGTGCGTATATAGATATATCTGCATGTATATATACGCGTGTATATGTGTAACTGTATGTGTGCATGTATGTATGTATGTCTGTCTGTCTGTATGTATGTCTGTATGTCTGTATGTATGTATGTATGTATGTATGTATGTATGTATGTATGTATGTATGTATGTATGTATGTATATATGTATGTATGTATTTGTGCATGCATGCATGTTTGTGTGTAGGTGTGTGTATGGATGTATGTATGTACGCATGTATGTATGTATGTATGTGTGTATGTATGTATGTACGTACGTATGTATGTATGTATGTATGCAGTTGTGTACACATGTGTGTAAGTGTGTACGTAAGTATATAGTAGCTGCACATGTCCATGTATAGTTGGATGTACAGCTATATGGTAGAACTAGGTGTATATGTGCATGCGTATGTGTATGGAGCGACTTGCAGACTATATGTGTACATGTATGTATGTTTGTATACACACATATATACGCATCTACAATTGTGCGTGTATGTGTCTATCAGCTACCGTGCTTGCACTGAGTGGGCGTGTTAGAATGCTTGCCGTTGTCTGGGAGGTCTCTTCAGTTTCCCAGGGCCGATCGATCCCCCCCTACTCGCACGCGTCCCAAAGAATGCGCCCCCCCTGAAATGGCTTCCCGGCGCTCATTTCGGCCTAGAGACGGCCAAGGCTCCAAGGCGGCTTCTAAGACAGTCAAGATGACACCAAGACGGCCCAAGATGGCCCAAAACAATTCAAGAGGCTCCCAAGACGGCCTCAAGACAGCTCGCCCGAGAGGGCTCCAAGAGGCCTCCAAGAGAGCTCGAGGAAGCAACAACTATAGACCTTCCTACGGTTATTGAAAGACGTTGAGGCTCTCGCCTGGTTTGGGCTTCCGACCGCCCACGAGGCCTCCAAGATCTCCAAGACAGCCAAGGAGGTCCCCAAGAAGGCCCCGAGTCGGCCCACGAGGGCCCCGGGATCGCCCAATAGCACCCCAAGAGGGCCCCAAGACGGCTCTAAAGCGTACCAAGAGGGCACCAAGACGGACCAGAGAGGCCCCAAGACGGCCTCCGACGGCGCCAGCCGGGCCAATCGCCTCCCTAAGACGGCCCAAGAGGGCCGAGGAGGCCCCAAAGAGGCCCCAGGAAGCCCCCAAGAGGCCCCTGAGAGGTCTTCCAGGAGGCTCCCAGGAGGCTTCCAGGATGCCCCAAGAGGGCCCCGAGAAGCTTTCTTCTCCCCCTCTCCTCTTCGAGAATAACCCAAGAGACCCCCGAAACGGCCCAAGAGCGCCTAAGATCGCCCCAAGAGGCGATTTCGAGGGCCGACGACGGGGCATGCAAATCGGGGACCCCCCTCATTGGACCAACGCCCTAAACAAGATTGTCCCCTGAGGCCTTCGAGGGTACCCGAGAGAGCCCCAGGAGAGCCCCAAGAGGGCTCCAAGAGGGCCCCAATAAGCTCATGAGGCGATATCGAGGGCCCCAGCGGGGGGGTTCAAATCAGAGACCCCCTCATTAGACCAACACCCTAAGCAAGATTGCCCTACAGGGCCCCAGAGAGTCCCAAGAGGGCCCGAATACATCTTGGCAAAGCCCTATCCCAACAGCCATCTGGGCTGAATGGTCCAATGGAATTCCCTTCCACAGCCCCGCCTTCCCCTGCTCGGGGGATGGGTTGATCACTGCTCCCTATTCGCCGGCCCAACGGGCCAGAGGCGTGCTAAGATCTCCGGTAACTGGTTAACAATTCTCTAGTTCGCACGCGCGGGGCGGCCGCTGGGGGTCCCCGGACGAAAAGTACCCCGGGCGATCCCCGACCGATCCCCGGGAGACTCCCCCAGAACGCTCCAGGAGCGCTCCATGAGCGCACCAACAGGGCTCCGAGACGTCCCCGAGAGCCCCAAGAAAGGCCAAGAGGCCCCCAAGAGGCCCCCAAGATGGTACACGAGGGGTCCGACATGCCACAAGATCGCTCCAAGACGCCCAAGATAGCCCCCAGACGCCCCAAGAGGCCTCCAAGAGCACTCCCAAGAGGGCCCCCGGAGGCAAAATTCATTGTTTTTCCTTAGGTTTTTGAGAGATTTTGGAGCTTCCACCTTTTCGGCTTCCCGACGCCCCAAGACGGCCCAAGAGGCCCCCAAGATCGCCCCAAGAGGGCCCAAGAGGCCCCCAAGAGGGCCCCAAGATGGCCCAAGAGGGCTCGAAGACGGCCCAAGAAGCCTCCAAGACGGTCCAAGAGGGCCCCAAGAACGCCCCCAAAGGGGCCCCAGAGAGGGAACACGAAACAACATTTCGAGCCCTCGGCCCTAAGAAGCCCCTACGAGGCCCCAAGAGGCCCCTAAGAGGCCCCAAGAGGCCCCCACGAGGCCCTCAGGAGGCCCCCAAGAGTCCCCCAAGCGGCCCCAGGAGGCCCCCCAAATGCCCCCCCGAGCGCCCCAGGAGTCCCCCAAGCGGCCCCAGGAACCCCCAAAGCGCCGCATTGACACCAGGCCCTCGGGCAAACGGCAGACATGAGACTGTATGGGCCGGCGGAATGTGCGAAGCGATTAAATTAATAAACACCACCTCCCCCACCCAGCCGGCAGCCAACCCGGAACTATGCGCACACCATGAGGGCCCCCCCACCATCCCTCCATAAAAACAATACGACATGTACATTGCGGGGCCCACCCTGCCAACACCCTCCACGGTCCCTGTCAAAAACATGGCGAAGTGTACATTGCAACAACATCTGGACAGTGCGCTGGCGACCTGTTGGCACGTTGCATCGTTTTTTGAAAAGGATGGCGGGGCACCCTTAGTGAAGCCGCTTTGTGCAGGGCCACCATTCGACAATTCGTGTCAAAACACATGCAGAGTGCACGTTGCGACAACGTCGTGGGTATTGTGCTGGCCACCCGCGATCACTATGTATGGTTTTCTGACAGGACGGCGATGATGCCCGCATGATGATGATTGCTGTGCGTAGGCCCAAAACAATGCTGACGCCCCCACATATCAGCATCTGGAACATGCGGACGGGGGGGCATCACGTTTTTTACAAGACAAGGATGGCACACCAACCGCATGTGGAGCCCGCGGCGAGCGTCGCGCACCTGGCGTCCGCGTTGGTTCCCAGTGGCTGTCCATCCAGTGGCGACCCCTGACTATTCCGAGACTCGGATACCACTTATGTGGTGGGAGGGCGAGTGGGAGTGAGCTAGACAGCTTGCGTGCGGAGAAGGTGGCTTGACCCCTACCCCTACGCCCCTCCCCTGGGCCTGGGAGGGGGAGGGGGACAGAGCTGTCGGACCGCCCAAGCTAGCCCAAGATGGCTTCAAGAGGGCCCTCGGCAACCTCAGACGGCCTCCACGATGGCCCAAGATACCCCAACATCGCTCAAGGTAGCCTCCGACATGCCTCCAAGACGGCCCAAGACAGCCCCAAGAGGGTTCGGAGTGCCCTTCGAGCCTCCGACGGCACTGTCCGAAAGGCCAAGACCATTCAAACACCTCTGGAAAATCAAGGTTGTTGGGCTTCTCGCCGTTTCGCGGCCGATGGGCTTCTCGGGCCTCAGGATGGCCACACGATGGCCCAAGAGAGGCCCAAGAGAGGCCCAAGAGAGGCCCAAGAGGGGCCCAAGGCGGCCGCAAGAGTGCCCCAAGAGCGCTGCAGACACGCACAAGAGCGCCCCAAGTGGGCATCAAGAGCCCATATTGGAGTCTCCGAGGGGACTGGGGGCCTCACATTTCTAACCATCTCTCTCCTTTGATCGATCTCCTCCTAGATGGCCTCAAGAGAGCCCAAAGGGGCGCCCGGTATCACCAGTGAGGCGCCCATCATCACCAGGGAGACGCCCAAGCGGCTCCCAAGAAGCCCCCACGAGAGACCAACGAGGCTCCAAGAGGCTCCTCCGAAGCATGAAAGGCGGTCCAAGAAGAGGCTCCACGGATCACTAGGACCTCTCCTCCTCCTCCTCCTTCTCCTCCTACTCTTTCTCCTCCTCCTCCTTCACCACCTCGTCTTCTTCCTCCGCCTCCTCCTCCTCCTCCTCGTCCTCCTCCTCTCCCTCCTCTCATTCGGGACAATATGATCTTATGTATTCCTAAACCCTTTCGGAAAAAACATTGGCAACGACTGACACATCCAAGGCCACATGTAACCCCCTCCTCCGCCTCCTTCTCCTCCTCTTCCTCCTCCTCCTCCTCTTCATCCTTTTCCTCCTCGCTCATCCGGGGCACTCTGATCTGATGGTATTCTAAATCCGTCCGGAAAACATTGACATAATGCTGGTGTCAGAGTCCCTCCCCGATGACAGAACCGTGGCTGGCAAGTCAACATTTGTCGAAGAGGACTCCAAGAAGTCCCCCATAGGGCCAAAACGGTGCCAGGTCGACCTGTTCCTAGGGCTCCCAACTTCGCGCTTCGCGCTGCGCGAAGCGCGAAGCGCGAATAACTTCGCGCTCTCGCGCCGCCCCCCCAAAGGGAGAAAAGGAGGACGAGGAGGAAGGGGAGAAGGAACGAGGACCGCGAAGCGCGAAGCGCGAATAACTTCGCGCCCTCGGGGGAGCCCTTGTGTTCAACCTACCTTCTGACGGCTCATGCAGCAACTATTCCCGCCCTCCTCGCACCCCCGAAAAGGCGTGCGAGGCGGCTGTTGCACTGTATGCTTCTACGCTGCCGTCGCCAAAGCAACTCACCTGGCGACCGTATCTTGACTACCTACCAGACCACCCCAACCCAACCCGAAGACCCGAATTTCGGGTTGGGGGGGGTAAGCGTTCCGCATGTGTTTTCTCGATGTTTCCCGACCCCCCCCCACTGGAAATCGAGGGTAAATTTGGGCCTTCGGGTTGGGTTGGGGTGGTTTGGTGGGTGGTGAGTATCTGGATGCGCTGGTGGGGGTACGCGAAGCCTCAAGAGTTCACTTATCCGGGCGAAGAACCCGACCATATGCAGTTCTGAATGCCGCGCTGTGGCACCGCCTTCGGTTGAGCTCCCTACGGGGGCACGGGATGTGTGAAGGGCGTGCCGAAATGAATGGGGAACCGCATGCGAAGCCTGCCACACAGGCCTTCGGTGGAGCTCACCATGGGGCCACGAAACGTGTGAGGGGTGTGTCGAAATGTGCGGGGAACCGCATGCGAGCCATGCCACTGGTGACTTCGGTGGAGCTCCCTATCGGGTCATGAAACGCGTAAAGAGCGTGCCGAGATGGGCGGGGAACCGCATGCGAACCCTGCCACTGGTGCCTTCGGTGGAGCTCCGTATTGGGCCACAACGCGTGTGAAGGGTGTGTCGAAATGGGCGGGGAACCGCATGCTAACCCTGCCACGCATGCCTCCAGGGGAGCTCCCTATGGGGTCACGAAACGTGCGAGGGATGTGCCGAAATGGCCGGGGAACCGCATGCGAACCCTGCCAGTGAGGCCCTCGGTGGAACTCCCTATGAAGCCACGAAACGTGTGAGGGGTGTGCCGAATTCGCCGTGAACCGCATGCGAGCCCGGCCACTGGGGCATTCGGTGGAGCTTCCTACGGGGCCACGAAACGTATGAAGGGTGTGCCGAAATGGGCGGGGAACCGCATGCGAACCCGAACCCTGCCAATAGGGCCTTCGGTGGATATCCACATGAAACCACGAAACGTGTGCGGGGTGTGTCGGAATGGCCCGGGAACCGCATGCGAACTCTTCCACTTGGGCCTTCGGTGGAGCTACCCATGGGGCCACGAAACGCGTCAGAGGCGTGCTGTAATGGACATGCGGAGGGCAGATGCAGGGATGGGAAAGCAGGAGGAGGGTCAGGAGGAGGGGAGAGAGGAGACGCAGGGCGCTGTCTCTTCAAGACGAGGGCCCAGAGCCACACGATGGTTTGGGGAAAAAACTCGAACCTCGATCCTCCTCGATCCTCAATGTTCCTAGTTTCCTCCTCCCCCTCGTCGCCCAAGCACTTCAATCTTCATAGCCAGCGTCGCCTCCAGCCGCAAATGCTCGGCTTTGCGCTCGGCGTCTGCGCCAGCAGCAGCCACGGCAGCCTCCAGGGCCGAGGGGGGGCTAGGAACACCAGCGGCGGATAATGACGACGACGAGAAAAGGAACAAAAGGGCAATAGTTATGATTACGTTCGGCAGCAGCTGCACAACATCATAACCATATGTCCGAGTGCCACTGTTTCCCCCCGCTCTCTGCCTGCACAATCGTGCCACATTGCCGCCGTTGCGGGGCGCGCGTCGTCATCGCGCCAGCTGAGTGGCCCGAGAAAGACCAAGTGGTATCCCCGATTGCTGCTGCCAAGGCCCGCTTCAGCGACAGCCGCCACTGCGCGTGCACTCTGCACGTCTGCGGCCACCGACGCCGCATCTGGAGGCGGCGACCATTTCAACCTCGTGACGGAGCATTGCCTGGCCACCGACACCGAGCTAGCCGTAGGTCTCGAATGAGATGCCCGAGACGCGTATACCGTGCCGTATCAGCTACTCGACCTCTCTGTCGGCCGCTATCACTCAGGCTTGGGATGCAGATGCGCGGCCTCCCTGGGCGTGTCAAACTCTGACAAGGCACCGCACCATCACTTGGAAATGAAATGCGGTAAAGCCCTCTGGGGTCCCGGGATACCCAAGATAAACATGATCGACCCACGAACCCGGAAAGGAATATAGAAACGTAAGGCATGGCAGCGTTTCCAAGACACCTGACTGGGCGACGGGCAATTGCAACGCTGAGCGTATCGATATTGATTTTCCTGCCGACGCCGTATGCGTCTCAATGAGGGTCATTTTGTCCCTGGCATGTGCATGCGCCACTGCGGCCAATTATCTTCGTTCCGCGCCCCGGACGTTGACCCGCTCCATGTCCCTCGCCTTGGAGCCGCGAACCAACATGATCGAAACACGAACCCGGAAAGGAATGTAGAACTGTAACACATGGCAGCGTTTTCAAAGACACCTGATTGGGTGACGGGCAAATGCAATACTGAAGGTATCGATCTTGATGTACCCTGCCGAGGGCTGTGCTGTGCTGCGCCGTGCTGAATTGCGATGTGCCATGGCGCGACTGTGCTCTATAGCCTCGTGGATCGAGTCCTCCTTTGCATCCGAGTCCTGACCGAACTGATCTGGATCTTAAGCTCGAGCTGCCTGAACACATAGTAGCTGCCCCAGAGCTAATGGACAGGGGAACATGCCAGGAGGACGCGCCGCGAAACGTCCCAAGGGATGCGCCAGGCGACGTGCCAGGGGACGTGCCATGGGGTCGCACCGCGGGACGTGCCAAGGGGACGCGCTACGGAACGTGCCAATGGATGTGCCACGGGATGTGCCAGGGGACGCGCGACGCGACGTGCCAGGGGGACTCGCCAAAGGACGCCCCACGGAACGTGCCAAGGAACGTGCCAAGTTGCAATGCTGAGTGCATCGACCTTGATGTACCGTGCCGAAATCAGTGCTGTGCTGCGCCGTGCTGAATTGCGATGTGCCATGGCGCGATTGTGCTCTATAGCCTCGTGGATCGAGTCCTCCTTTGCATCCGAGTCCTGACCGAACTGATCTGGATCTTAAGCTCGAGCTGCCTGAACACATAGTAGCTGCCCCAGAGCTAATGGACAGGGGAACATGCCAGGAGGACGCGACGCAGAACGTCTCAAGGGACGCGCCAAGCGACGTGCCAAGGGACGTGCCATGGGGACGCACCGCGGGACCTGCCAAGGGGACGCGCTACGGAACGTGCTGGGGACAAGCGTTTCGCTCGAGACATCCTGTCAAAATCATTTGAATTCCTACGCGCGGGACGCTGCACGCGCGAGACATCCTCGGAATTCCTGCGAGCGGGACGTGAAAACAAGCATTTCGCCTGAGACATCCTTTGAATTCTGGCCCCCCACGAGGCCACCGCTCGAGACATCCTCCAATTTTGCAAAACCAGCGTTTCGCTCGAGACATCCTCAACAAATTATGAAAAACAAGCGTTTCGCTCGAGACATCCTGTCAAAATCCCAAGAAATCCAAATACCCGCGCGCGGGACGCGGCACGCGCGAGACATCCTTGGAATTCCTGCGCGAGGGGCGCTTTTCCGTGTCGCGGTCGGCTCTGCAAAACCAGCGTGTCGCTCGAGACATCCTCAACAAATTCTGAAACCAAGCGTTTCGCTCGAGACATCCCCAACTCTGCAAAACCAGCGTCTCGCTCGAGACATCCTCAACAAATTCTGAAAAACAAGCGTTTCGCTAGGGACATCCTCAATTTTTAATTCGCCGGCCCTACGCGACCTCGTTATTTATCGCAAAAGAAATTCGCCGGCCCTACAGCCGTCAAAACCGAGGGGAAACCAACTAAAAGAGAACCCTGGGCTCAGGCCCTTTCCGGGAAAATGACAACATCCAAAAGCGCCTTGGCAAGGGCACCTTCATGACTGACGCGGTACAAACTCAACACAGCATGTTCGGAGTCTACGAAGCACCTGCTCTCGAAGAATTTGCAACAAGGTTTCACTAAGGAGCGGTGAGGCAGCATGCGGGCGGGCCCACAATTTCAACCACGCATGTGCGCCAGCAGACACTCAAGCCGACTATACACGGACGAGCTTCTTTCCCAGCCGACGGAATGCAGCAGACAGCTGCAAGCGGGACCTCGACGACTCCGAGGCGGAGCTGAAGGGCAATGCGGTAACGAACGCCATCCATGCACTCGGCTGCGCACCGCGACATCTTACCATAATGCGGCCCACGGTTGGATAGAACACCTTATGCATAGAGTCGGCCGCAGAAGCCAAGAAAGCACTCGTTGTTTGCAGGTTTTCGAGTGCGAGGAACACGCGACTGTACAGCTGGGAGCGAACGCCAAAGGGTGGAAGGCAATGGTCTATGACCAAACAAACTCGCCTCTCCACCGTTCGAGGGACTCACAATCGCCCCGGGCAACGGCCGCGAAAACGACAGCGTCGGTCGAAACGTCAACCTCCACGCTTGCTGCCGGTGACAAGGCGGCTGCTGCGCGCGCGTGGGCTTGGGCCGCGTCACCTCGTAGAGGGCGCCCAGCTCGGTGCAGAATGCCCTGGCCTTGGCCCGGGTGCCCTGCGGGGACAGCAAGCGACCACAACCACATCAAGCACACAACCTGGGACATGCTTTACGCATGCCAAACTATTGCCGGAATACCGAAACCAACATCGCAATGGTGGTGGTCGATGTGGCGTCCCAGGACGGCCAAACCGACCACAACCACGACCAAAATGCTCACGTCGAGGTCGGTGAGTTCTCCCCCGGGGGGCTTTCCCGATTAATCAACTATGCTGTGGTTGTGGCTCTTTGCTGTGCCCGGATGCCCACCCTGCTGGCCAAGAAAACCACGCCTGCGCTCAGAGCAGAAAGCCTCGGCCACATCCCGCCTGGAAGAGCCGCCCGCGCCCCCCCCCCCTCCCCCCATCAGCGGGGAGGCGGCCGCCTCTGGCCCCCCACCGCCCCCATCAGCGGGGAGGCGGCAAGCCTCCGGACCCCCGTGCTGCCGGCGCCCCCGGGCGCCTGACCCTCCTCGGCTGGGGCGGCGCCGAGTCCTTCCCACAGGTCAGGCGCATGGAGACAATCTCCCCCACCTCCTCGGGTCGTCGCCCGGCAATCTGCCCGCGACATGCGTCGCGACTCCACGCATGGCTGCCTCGAGCCACTCTGGCAGCGGGCGCGGGTTGCTGGCAGGCAGAATGCGGATGCCTCGCGGCGAGGCCGCTTTCATGCCCTTGCCCATGAACCACCACGCCACGCACGCGTCGACCACCCCCTCGAGGAAAGTATGCGGGCGCTGGCCCAACACCTCGCGCGGGGGGCGCGGGTCGTGGACCCGGGCCATGTACTGCACAAGGCGTTCAGCCAGCAACTCAAAGCTGGAATGTGTGGATGCCGTTATGTGTGGAAGCTGCTCCGGAAGTCTTTGCTGTCGCTTGGCCAATTGGCGAAAGGCCTTCGATGTGCGGGAAAATCCGCGGAAAGTTTGGGGAACATTCCCCCACAGACCGCCGTGGCCGCCAAGACCCCCAAGGCGCCCAGGAGACTGCACGGCCCTGCGCAGGTGGAGACAGAGAGCTTGCGCCGACTGACCACACACTGCGCGCATCGTGCATCACAGGACACAGCGTCGTATAACCCACAGTTATACGACACTGCATCGCAGGACACAGCGTCGTATAACTCGGAGTGATGGAACCAGATCCGATATTGCGCTGACACAGAATTCGGGGCTTCCCCTGAAGGCTCTGCCAATGACTGCCAGGGCGACCCTGTCGTGCTGCTCTTGCAGGCCGATCGCCTGATCAACGGCCTGCTCCTGGGAGCCCTTGGAACATGTCGCCATGCCCTTCGCGTGCTCAAAGGCAGGGGCGCCCAGCGCGGCGGCGCGAAACGCAGCGACAACATCTAGGTCGCAAAGTTCGGCAGCGACACGCGCGTCATGGTCGCCCCCGGTGGTGCCCCAAAGCGCAGGAGGCTGAAGGAAGAGGGAGAAGAGGCTGGGGCGGCGCGGCGCGGGGGCGAGAGGAGGGAGGCCGCGCGAGAGGGCCCCCAGCTGTCCCCCCCCCTCCGCCATGCTGCCTGCCTCCCTCCCCTTGCCGTCCGTGCCGTCTGCGCCATGAGGCGGAGCGCAGAGGTCAGCATTGAGCACCGTGGGAAGACGTCGCCCGAAACCGGGCACACAACTGCCTGCAGCTTGTGGTACCGCCTCGGGGGCTGGAGCTGCGCGCGCGGAGCCGCTCGCCAGGGCTCGCCTGGCGGGCACTGCACCCCAGCTCGCGGTGCCCCTCTTCGAGGTCCAGGCCATCCCTTCGAGGCCCCAGAACCGTGTGGTGTCGGACCGCGTAGCGACCTCGGGATTCCCAACGACCTCGGAGGTCCGCAGAGGCTACCAGGAAACGCTCCCAGAGGCCCCTGCGGTCCACTTGCGGGAATTGCAGCCTCTGGGAGCTCTTCTTGCGGCCGCGGACCTCCAGCAAATGGCTCGATCCATGGGCAGGAGGTCCGCGGAGGCCTCGGGGAGCCCTTCGTGGCGGCCTCTGCGGACCTCCCGCACATGGCTCCCTTTGCGGGAAGTCCGCGGAGGCCTCTGGGAGCCCTTCCTGGCGGCCCCCGCGGACCTCCCGCAGATGGCTTCGTTTGCGGGAGGTGCGCAGAGGCAACTGGTGGCCCTTCCTGGCGGCCTTCGAGGTCCGCTGAGGCCTCTGAGAGCCCTTCCTGACGGCTTCTGCAGACCTCCTGCAAGTGTGCCTCCATTTGCGGGAGGTCCGCAACGGCGGCTGGGAGCCCTTCCCGGCTCCATTCGCAGGAGGTCCACAGGGGCTTCTGGGAGCCCTTCATGGCGGCCTCTGCGGCTCCATTTGCGGGAGGTCCGCAGAGGCCTGTGGGAGCCCTTCCGGGCGGCTCTTGAGCCGCCGGTGCGGACGTCCTCCACTTGCTCGATTTGCAGGGGGGAGCCCCGGGGACCGAGGGTCCAGCGTCACCCCAGAAGCTCCGCCACCCAGCAGAGCAAACACTACACCCTGCGAAATGCTTAAGAAATCATGGGTTAAGAAATTCATAGTCTCAGAACTTGAATAAAAACCCAAAGCTTCTATCAAACTCATAGGATTCACACTGAAACATTAAGAATAATCGAGACTCTGGCCGAAAACGTCAGTTTTCTTAAGCATCGCCTAAGGTGTACAGCTCCAGGACTTGCGGCCTCTGGGGCCCCTCGGCCAGGCGCAGGCTCGGGCAGCTCGCGGAGGCCGAGAGAGGGTCCGCTTCCCGAGAGAGGGGGCGCCGAGGTGCAGCGGCAAGCTGGCACGAGACAGACGGGCATCCGACGGATCGGTGGCCTCCATCCACGGGCGAAGTCTCGACCCCCTCCGCAGAGGCATTTAGCTTTCGCCCTGGGCACACTTCTGGTGGCCCCCAGGGCGCAGAGGCAGAGGCGCCCCCCGGGAGGCCGCAGCGGAGAAGACGTCAGGACTTTTGCCCGGAATCTGGGCACGGCTGGGGGGTCGCACATCGACTCCATATCACTCTGGCCAGAATGTCGACACTGACGCGGGCACGGAGGAGCCTCCAGGAGGCTCAAACGCGTCCATGTTTTTCGAACCTCGAGCTTCGTCTAGTGCTGTACATTATCCTCCGACGTCGAAATTGTTTCGTGACGTGGGCCGCCGGGGACCTCGACCCCGGGGCCGGCTTTTCATCCTCAATAATTACTTAACGCTCCCTTGGCTGGAAAATCGTTCGTTCTCCAGCGGCCCAAGACGTAGAATCTGGCCGCCACGCTTCGATTGCGCCGCGTCGGCTAAAAGGAGTGATATTTTGGGGGGGCGCGGAGGGCCCAAACCCAACCGCGCAAGCCGCTGCTGTGGCATACTTATCGTATTGAACGATCAGGGAAACGCAATGGGCCCGCACCAGGCAGGCCTGAACTGTATAGAATCGCGAAATCGGATCGGATCGGAAACAGATCGGATCGGAATGGACCGCATCGCCCAAGGATCGAAATCGGATCGCCGCGCATGACTTCGGTTGGCTGTGGCCGATGCCGATGCCGATGCCGGTGAACCGAAACGAGCCGAATCGAATCGGAATCGCGGCCCTGGCCGGCGGACCGAATCGCATCGCATCTGATCGTGGGCGGCCCTGCCTGAGGCCACTCCGGCGAAGGGCCACCTCTTCTCACACGTGCAGCCGAGCGCGGGCGGATCGGAGCAGCAAGCAGCAGCATACACATGCCTTGCTCGGAGGTCCGCGCGGACTCCTTGGATCGGCGCGCGGGGGGGGGGCCCTGGCGCGCGGAGCGCGCGGATCTGCTCCCGAGACCCCCCGTCCTCCTCCTCCCTCTCTCCTGCCATCTGCGCCGCCTGCGGCTGCTCCTTCCCCCCCCTCCCCCCCTCCCCCCCCCTCTCCCCTCCGTTCCCCTGCCTCTGCCCGCGCCCCGAGGCAGGTGCGCGCTCTGAGCGCCCGCCCGGCCGGCCCGCCTGGCCGGCCGCCCGGCACGGGCCCTTCCCCGAGACGGGTCTGTACAGGCCCCCCCCCCAGGTAGCGGAAACGAGTGATCCTTCCGAGGCCCCTTGTTGATGGACTGGGGCCCCACCGATCGTGGAAAGATCAATCTTTCTCCGCGGCGCCCGCCGCGCAACAACAACGACGAGGAGGAAGAGGAGGAGGAGGAGGAGGAGGAGGAGGAGGAGCAGGCGGATGAGGGGCGGAGTTGATTCGCCGCCGAGAAAAACAGGGGGGGATCCTCAACGCCAACGACCTCCTAAGGTTACATTCTGCCACGGGTGGCATCGATGCGGGATCCTGGCGCCTGCCCTGCGGCTGCTTTCCCCACGGCCGAGTGTCTGGAGGGTGGAGCCCGACGCTATCGCGGGAGGCGCCTGCCACCCAGCCCTCCCTCCTGCTCCTCCTCCTCCTCCTCCTCCTCCTCCTCCTCGTTCTGAGGCGGAGCGACGGCCCTCCTTGTGGAGGGGGCGAAGGGCGGGCTGGGGGGGAGATGACCTTTAAGGTCACACAAACACGCACACGCACACACGCACACACGCACACACGCACGCAGGCACGCAGGCACGCACGCACGTACGCAGGCACGCAGGCATGCAGGCACGCAGGCACGCAGGCACGCAGGCACGCAGGCACGCACGCAGGCGACGCAGGCGACGCAGGCGACGCGGGCGACGCAGGCACGCACGCGCACGCACACGCGCACGCGCACGCGCACGCGCACGCGCACGCGCACGCGCACGCGCACGCGCACGCGCACACACACACACACACACAGACACACACACA